AAGCGTTAAAAAGTCTGTAATGATATATGAAATAATAATTATGAAACTTTATAAGAACACCTTATTTTTTTATTTTTGAAATGGATTGTATATGTTCTGATTATTCAAAATTTTCGCTTTAAATTATATAATAAATGAGAACAATTTATCTGAATGAGGGATAGAAAAGAAAATGTAAAAATTTAAATATATTGAAAAAAAAATAATTGATAGATATCAAAAATGTTAATTCTGAAATTATTATTTTAAATGAATTATGAAAGTATGAGTAAAATCAGCTAAAGAATTATGATTCTAATAATTAATTCAAGCCTTACTGATCTTTTCCATATAGAGTAACTAAAATTAAAAATAAAAAAACTAAAAGCAGTATATATATATATAGTAAATAAAAGTCTATCAACATTTTTGAGAATGTAAATAATGATAATTGCCTATTTTAAGGAGTTTTCTATGCATGCAATATAATTAACATACATGTATATACATATATCTACGATGATATGTTTAAAAAATTTCATTAAAGACAGAAAAATCATAGAGTGACTTGTAAAAAAAAAGTATATTTTATGAAATGTAATATAGGTATATTTATAAAATATGTGTGATGTGACAAGTTTTTCTTAAAAAAAATTAAATTTTCTTTTTTTTTAATAAGAATATAGTAAAATAAATTTTATTTAGTTTTATAAAAACTATCGATCAAAAGAATGAAAATTATAAGATATAAAATAAATATTTTTAATTTATTGTTAACATTTAGTTATATGTAATGTATAAAATACGTACAGAAATTAATTTTATCATAAATATCATAAGATCTCTCTACATGCTCCTTGTTAATTTGACTATTAGTCTATTAATAGTTTTATCTATATATTTTAAAAGGTATTTAATTGAATATAATAAATAAAATCATTTTTTCTTATACATGCTAAAATGCATAAAAAATTCTATAATTCAAAAACATATACTAAAAGAACTCCAAAAAAAAAAAATACAAATATATTTTGTTATATTTTTTTTTCTGGTGTATATTAACATACAATCATAAGAAAAAATTTTTTTTTAAAATTTGGTGGTATTATTTTTTTTATTCATTTTTTCTTAAAAAAATATAATGTTAAAATAAAATTTTTTTTTTTAAGAACAAATTATAGTAGTTTATTATTTTTTTTGACAAATATTAAAAATGTAGTGTTAAAAATTACATCCGTAGAGTATTAATTAATTAATTTAATTTGCAATTGACTAATGTAATTAATATTTTATTATAATTAAGGTAAATAATTTGCTTTTTATTTTATTTTAATTTAAATAAAATGAGTATAGTTTTCTCTATATTCTCCTTATTAATTTGTTCGTTCAACAATGGAAAAATCAATCAACATACAATTAATAAATTTATCCAAAGTATTATGAAATTCATTAAAAAGTTAATTAATAAACCATTATTATAGAGGTAAAGAAATCCAAATCTAACTTAAAAAATGAAATTATTAGTTAGTAAGGCTAAAGAGATATATGACATTCAAATGAAGAGTTGCGTATATATCACTGATTTGTTAGTTGCTACATTCAATGACCTTGCTAGTATTTAACAAACGAATTAATTAAGAACATGCATAAAGGACTTTACTAATTTTATTTTTATTAAATTAAAATATTAAGAAAAATGTTTAATTTTGTTAATGCCAAATATTAATTACATTATTAAATCACTATGTTTGTTAATTTACATAGTGTTTCATGTATATCACATTTAAAATTATATTTTTAATTTTTCACAAAAAAAGATACTTCATATTCATCTTCCTCAGAAAATAAAATATATATTTTTTTAATGTCATACTTTTAGTGCAAAATTTTTTTTTAGCACATGTACCTTCTGTGTACTTTTTTTATTAGTTACGTGTTTATACATATATAATTTCTCTGTATATTAGTATATATAAATAAAAATGATTTTACAAGTTCCATTTATTTAAATATTATTTAAAACAAGTAGATAATAATATTTATAGATCAATAATTACATGGAATAAAAAAAAAATCATTATTTATGCATTAGTTGGAACCCAGAAATTGTGTGGATATTTGTAAAAGAAGAAGCACAAAACCATATGACTTGAAAGATAATAGAAATAAAAGAATAAATAATTATATATAAAAAGGTCTTAAGTTTGTAGAACAGTACAATGAAAATAAAATAAAATAATATAATATTATTATTTTTCGAATGGTGATCGATTATTTTCTATAAATGTTATTATTAGTCCATTTTAAATAATATACAAATGAATAAAATAAATATATTTTTATGTGTGCATACTGTATATGCGGAAAAAATAGGCACATTTAAATTTTCTCAATAAAATTAATTTATTAAAAAAAAATTTTTTTTTTTATATATATATAATTTTTTTTTGAGGAATTTTTGAAAAAAAAATAATTTTTTTTTTGATGTTTCTTGGTAATATTTTAATTAAAAAGTTAAAAATGTAATGTTTAATATTATATTTATAAACTACTGATTAAATTAATATAAATAATAAATAGAATAATAAATTTTAATTTAACATTAACAAGATTAAATAAATTGAATAATATTTTATTTAATATTCAATAAAATAAATTGAGTTTTCTCTATATGCCTTTTATTAATTAGCTTGTTCAATATTACAAAATCACTGAATGTAAAATTAATAAAACAAATAATGATAAAAAAATTTTTATTATAAAAGAAAAAAAATTGTTGAAATTAAAAAAAAATAAGAATGAATATAAATGATCGTATAAATATTGTTATATATAACATAAAAACAAAGTTAAACGAAAATTGAACAAAAATCTAATAAAATTAAGTCTAGAAATTGCTAAATATATCACTTTAAAATTATTTATGCTAGAGTAACAATGTGTACATAAAAATAATTTTTTTTTTTTTTTTTTTCTTTTTACTTCTTTTGTTAAAGAATATCTAATTATTAATAAAAAATATAGATAGGTCTTTAAAAATATAAGAATATATTACACATTAAATAAATTTAATTATTTTATGTTTTTAAAACTATAATTATATGAATATATTTTAAATATATAAAAATTAACCTTTTATTTTTTTTTTTATATTAAAATGGTATTAAGTATTGTTTATAAATATAATTCACATGTGTAAATTATAAAAAAATGAATGAATTGCAATTTTTTTTGAAATTTGTTTTACCATATATTTTAATATAAATCGTAGTTAGAATGAGAAAAAAAGGAATCATAATATTTTTATTTTTTCTTTATAAGGTTAATTATAAGAATACCTTTTCTGAGTTAATCTCATATATTTTGAGATTTACGTTATTATTTTTTCAGAAAAATATAAAAATTCTCATTTTATACTTTCATAAATTAATGGACCAGTTTTTATTTTTTATAAAAATTATTAATATTTTAATTCATTTTACACTATTTATTAAAATTTATCTATTTATATATTAAATGAATAATTAAAAAAGTATAAATTTGAATTTAAGAACTTAAATGTTCTAAATAGCTAATAAAATATATAACTAACACTTTTTAAATTTTAATATGGTAAAAGTGTACTATGTACAGAGATTGCCACTGCATGCAAACACATTCAAAAGGTGCGTATATAATATGATTTTAAAGGTACATGCACAAAAATATTCATAATCAAATAGTTATAATAGAGTGTAGGTATATTTGTTTATTTTTAAAAAAAAAAATTATTTTTTTTTTAGAGTAAAACCATAAGAAAACAAAATAACTTATATTTTAATTTAACATTAATGTATTAATAATTTAAGTTTTAAAAATAGTAGATAATAGTTTTTTTATTAGCAATAAAAATTTTGATTAAAAGATATAAATTTTTTTTATTATATTTGATTTTATATAGTATAATTATATAAAAGTTATATGATTATCTATATGTTACTTTGCAATAAATAAAACAAAAGGAATTTTTCATTTAAGCTTTTTGCTATTTTTAATGTTTAGGGAGCTATAAAAAAAGTAAAATTACAAATTGATTAATCACAATCTAAAAAAAGTGTAAATCTTAAAATAAAAAATAGAGATAAAAGAGAGAAAAGAAATGAAAAAACTAGAGAAAACAGTTTTTAAAATAATTGAATTAAAACTAAATAACTCATATAAATAATCCTTAAACAATTACAAAAAATTCAACCATAATTACACTAGTTTTCTTATATATTTTTTTAGCCTAAAACAATTAAGTTTAAAATTTTTTATTCCTTATTTATTTAATGATTATTAACTAAAATTAATTTAAATCTTCCTAATAAATTCGTTAGAAAAAAAAATTTTTTTTAGTAATAAATAATGACACTTATTTAGAAATTATTTTAAAAAAAAAAAATTGAAATATTAATTGTTCTACACTATAAATTAAAAATATTTTATTCAATAATGTAAAATAAAAAAAAAAATATGTTACATTTATAAGTGGAAAGCTTTTATAATATTTTTTTTCTCTCTTAATTTTTTAATTTTAATTATATCACCTTGTAAATTTAAATATCATTGCATTTTTTTACTTAATTATATATATTAGTTTTATCTAAAAATAACTACTTATTATAAAATACATTAGGTGAAAATTAAAAGCTTGCTTGCATTAAAAAATACTTATTTTTATTTTGGAAATACAGAAACTTTACAACCTATTAATGTATTAAATAATATGATGAAATCCTATTAAAAAGGAAATTTAATTAAAAATTTAATTAATTTAATTAATATGCAATAATATGTGGAATTCAGTGTTATAGTGTAAATAAAGAATTGTTCATTTTTTATTAATATGACCTTTATATTGCCTTAATTTTAATATTTATGTAATTCTAACATGAAATATTCAATTAATGACAATATAAATATATATGTTGTAGTTTTTTAAAATTATTTATTAAAAAAAAATAATAGAACATGCCAAGATAATTACAATTAAATATATAATGGATACAGAAAAAGAACCAATTAGAAGAAAACGTAGAGACCTAACATCTGGTGCATTAGGACGATATCATCTCAGAAATTGGAGGCAAACATTCTATAAAACTGTTGACTCAAAAATTCTCCAAATTCAAAGGGCAAAGTCTCCAAAAATGAAAAAGAGACTCTGTAGATATTTCAATTATTGGCTTGATGAAAGAAGGGATTATTTCACAACAAATTTAAGAAAACCATACCGTTTATTGGGAAATATTAATAATCTTTGGGCAGAAAATCAGGATTATGTAGTTAATAAATTAAAATCATCAATCAATGATTCATGTCAAAGGAGAGAGAATAAGGATAAGAAAGATGTAAGAGATAAAAAAAAAGTTATGGAAGATTTTTGTGAGGATAAAGAGGAACATTTACAAGAATTAAATGAAAATATAACAGAAGAGAAATGTACAAAATACAATAATTGGTTAGATGAGAAAAAAAAATTTTTTGAAAGTAAAAAATGGATTAATGAACAAATGACATTTGATGAAAATTTAGAAATTTCTGAAAACTGTACACTTAATAATATGAATACGTTTGTTACTAGTTCAGAATGTTCAAGAATCAATAAAAAAGAAAACGATTCTTGTGATTCTAAAATATCAGAAAAATGTAATCAATCTCAACGTTTAACTCCTGGTAGTTCATCTGGTAATGTATCTGATCACTCTACAATCGAAACTACTACAAAAAAACCAAATGATACTACTAATTTATCTACCACTACAATAAACTCCACAACTACAACTGAAATTACATCAAATACTTCAATTGAATCTACTACCTCAACACCAGGATCTACACAAAAGTTAACATCAACTATTGTGTCTATACAATCAGATCCAAATTTACCTATACCTGCACCTCTAAAGGCAAGTGAACCTGAAATCTCACAAAGAGATGTGTCTCCTACTACTCCAACACCAATATCTACACCAAAGTTAGCATCAACTACTATGTCTACACATTTAGATGAAGATTTACCTATAGCTTTACCTGTAAAGGCAATGAATCCTATAGAAAAACAAGTTATAAATGATAATATTCCAACATCTAGAAATGATGTCATATCTCCATCTGTTAACGCTTCAAGTGAATCTTCAATTTCTCCTACATTTGGATCTATAAATACAAATATATCTGGAAATTCACAAACAGAATTGTCTCCAACTACTTTAACATCTGCACCTAACATTACTTTACCATCTACTGCCACTCCAACAAATATAATTACAACTATTCAAGCACCTAAAACTAATTCCACATCATCATCTTCTAACACCACTTTAAATATACCGTCAATTTCTCCTACATCTGCAAACGTAAATAAAACTCAACCAACAACTATATTTGAAACTACTATATCAACTGGAAATACATCCACATCTACATCTACTACCATAGCTGCGAATATATCTGCAAATTTATCTATAAGTACATACACAAATACAAATACATCTTCAAATTTACCTACACGTACGTCTACAAATTCAAGTATATCTACAACTAAATCAACTATATCTAGTACTATTCTTACACCAAAAACTAAACTACAAACAAAAAATATATCTACTCATGCAGTTAAATCCATAAATGAAACTACATCTAAAAATACAACTAAGATTATTTCAAGTAATAAAATATACAATTCTACTTTTTTCATTGATAATTCTACGTTTAGTTCTTCCATGAATACTTCTCTTACATATAAAAATTATTATGTAAATGGAAACCACTCTAATGATAATATACCAAATATTGCATCTAATAACATTCTAACTACTACTCCACTACCTGCCCTGAATGCTACTACAAATGTAACATCTAATAACATTCTAACTACTACTCCGATACCTACCCAAAATACTACTCCAAATGTAACATCTGATAATCCTGATACTCCCATATGTACATTAAATTTCCCTGTGTTGATTGCCCTTTCATTGGGTGCATCACTTTTATTAATTATTTTCCTTTTCGCCATTCTTTATAAGGTAAGATAAAATTATTATATATATATATATTACTGCATTCCTTTTAATTATTTTTCTTATAGATTATCTTATTATCATTAAAAATTTATATATTATATACTTAAAATTTTCTATTTATGTAATAGCATAGACCTACTAGATTTTTACCTGGTAGTAAAGGATCAAAGAAAAAGAAAAAGCATGTAAAGAAGAAAAATCATAAAGAAAGTTCAATAAGTTATATAGGGACGCCTTTAGATATTCCATATGAATTACTAGAAAGTAATATTCAACTCAATAATGTATGTAACAAAACCAATAATTCATTATGCAGTATTGTATTTGAAAATGACATAAGTAACGCACTTACAGAAAAATCAGAAGAAAATGAAATAAATATAAAAACAATAGGTGATATTGCGGTAACAAGAGAAAAATTAAAGTGGAAGATTATATTAAAAACATATATGATAGTTATAGACGAATGTAAAAAGGAGGAATGGGAAAAGAACAGGAGAATATTTTTTGAAATTTGTTTGGAAGTATTAAAAAAAGAAGGCATATATTCAGATGTAACAATTGATATGGAGAAAAAAGATAATATTACTATTATGTTAGAAAAAAGAAAGTTTCTGTGGGAACAATATATAAAAGGACATGGGAAGATATTAGAAAAATGTAAAAAGGATATGTGGTTTGAAAATTTGAAGAGGGAATGGAAAGAAGAGGAAGATAACTATTCAGAAATAATAAAAGAAGAAAGGATAATAAAAAGTACAGAAAATGATTTAAATAATCCTTTGGAAAAACAAAAAATAATATGGAGGAATTGGTTAAAAAAGCATATAACGTGGTTGCATGATTCTGATTACCAAAAATTGTTTGATGAATTATTAGAAACGTATAAAATAGAAGAAGAAGAAGAAGAGGAAGAAAAAAAAGAAAAAGAAAAAGAAAAAGAAAAAGAAAAAGAAAATATAGGATCATATAGTGAAGAAGGAAATATTAATATGGAAAGAGAAAAAAAATCAGATAAAGATTCGAAGAAAAATAATTTAAAATTGAAATTATGGATTAATATGCATATGATGGCATTAGAGGAGTATAAAAAAGAGGAGAGGATGATGAACAGAAATAAGTTTCTTAAAAAATGCATTGAAGAATTAAAAACAACGATAAATCCAGAAGATATATTGGAAATAGAAAAAGAAATAAGAGAAGATATTACATTAGAAAATAAAAAAGAAGAATTAGAAAAATTAATAAGAGAAAATTGGTTTATTGAATTGAAAATAGATTGGAATAACAGAAAAAAAAAATATATGGAAGAGTTAAGCAAAAAAGTCTTTCCAGAAAATAATGAAGAAATAATTAAAAATTTTATGATATATGAGCAAGGAATTATATGGAAGAAATATTGGGTAGAAATGAATAAGAAATGGATAGAAAATGAAACCATGAAAAAATGGCTTGTAAATTTGATAGAAGAAAATGAAATTGAAGATGAAAACAAAGTGAAAATAAAAGAAATAAAAGATGAACTTGAAGAATATAAAGAAGAAACAAATACAAACAAAAAAGGAGGAAAAGTAAAAGAAAAAAAAATGAAGGACGAAGAGGTACAAATGGAAAATAAGAAAAATTTTAAGACATTGAAAAAAAAACCAAAGTGGAAAACTATGGTAGAAATACACATGATTATAATGGAAGATTGTATACAAAAAGAGTGGGAATTGAACAGAGAAAATTTTTTGAAAATTTGTTTGGATGAATGGAAATGTGGTGAAAGATCATATGGAAATATAATAGGAACAAAAAGTATAATGAATTTAGAAGAAAGTAGTATTATTGAATTAGAAAGACAAAAAATGTTTTCTAGGAAATTGACAGAAAGACATAAGAAGATGTTAGAAAAATGGAGAAAAGAACGATGGTTTAATAGTTTAAAGGAGGAATGGAAAAATGAAAAAAATATACATGTAGAAACAATAAATGAAAAAAAATCCAATGAAGGAACAAATAACATAGAGAAAAATATTGTATTAGAGAAGAAAAATGAAATATGGAATCAATGGATAAACAAACAAAGAAGATTATTTGCACAACATGAGAAGGAAGCATTGTTTAATAAGCTGTTAGACGAGTATAATGAGGAAGAATATAAGTATGAAAGAGCAGATGAGCAAACAAAAGAAAAAAAAAATAATATAGATAACATGGAAAGAGATCCAAAAACAGTTGATATAAAAGATGACGTTAGTGGAAAGATAGAGAGGGTAAATTTGATATCTAAATTGTGGATTGAAATATATATGATGATATTGGATCAGTGCAAGAAAGAAGAAATAGAATATATGAAAAAAGAATTTCTCAAAACATATATAGAAGGAAAAAATGGCTATAAAGGGTTAAATGAACATGGAATTACAAAAAAAGGAATAAATGATGAAGAAAAAGAAGGAATTATAAATGATATGATAGAGAAAAAGAAAGAAAAATGGGAATCCTGGAAACGAGAGGAATGGTTTCAAGAATTGAAGTTAAACTGGTATAAAACAGGACATACAAATGATATAGAAGAATCAAAAATATTAGGTGATACAAAAGTAGAAATTAAAAACTTTGTATTTGAAAGACAAGTATCTGAGAGACAATGGCTAGAAAAACAGAGAAAATTTTTAAAAAAATGGAATAAACAAAAATTAAAAAAATCTATGAAAAATAAATATAAAGATGAACAAATAGAAGAAAAAAATAAAGAAAATGAAGAAAATGAAGAGAATGAAGAAGATGAAGAAAATGTTCTAAAAGATAATTGGGATATTACCATATTATAAATCTTAGTAAAATACATGCTCTGCATGTGTTTGTTTAATAGACTAGTACTCTTATTATACATATGGATTAATATATTATTAATACTCTATAATTTAATATCTTGTGTTATCCAAGCAATCATAGAAATATAATCGTACATATTTTATATTTCTAAAAAATAAAATTAATTTTTTTTTCTTTTTTTATAGATGCTTTCATTAATTATATTTTTTTTAAAAAAATTTAAATTAAAAAAAAAAAAATAATCGAAAAATAATTTAATTTACATAGAAACATATTTTATTTAAAGGTAAGTTTTTATTTAAATCCTTCGTATTTGTCTTTTAAAATTTTTTTTTGTTAGATTAATTTTTAACATATAATACTAATTTCGAAAAACATAAAAAAAAAAGTATTTTATCTTTATATGCATTTATATTAATATGTGTTTTAATAATTCACTAATTGCCCGTTCAGTGACCTTGTTTTTATTAATTGCCTATTGAATGACTTTTCAAGAGAATTGAACAAATAGACTAGTAAAAAGCATGTGAAGTTCTCTTCATTAATTTAATAAATTTAAATTTAGTTTTAATTATATGAACCTATAAAATTTTTTTATATAGTCTACTTCCTTAAGCATTTATTTACTTTAATGAAAATCTTATATTTTTGTTAAAAATATAAATCCTCATTAACTACTTATTTTAATTACACAAATTTTATTTATAATATTATGAATTATGTGTAGCAGTCAATTCATTGCTCTCAACTTAACAAAAATAAATAATTAACAAAATACGAATTAAATTATATAAATACTATGAAATATGAAAATTTTGTTATCGTAAAGATATGGTTTTATTATATAAATTTAGACAATATTTGTCTAAAAAGAAATTTTTTTTTAAAAACTTTTTCTTATGTTCTTCAACCTTCAATCATTTTAAAAAAAGTAAAAATACTTTTTAATATATTTTAAATTACAAAAAGAAAACAAAAAAATTGGTAACTATTATTTTTTTTTATCTAGAGTTTATACGGATAATTATTTATTTTCCATATAGCTAATTCTTTTTATTCTCAAAAAGACTAACAATTATTTTCTGGTTAACAAAAAGAATTATTAGCCTTTGTGAAAGTGAAAATAATTATCTATGTGGAAAATAAATAGTTATCTATGCATGTGCTAGTTAAAAAAAAAATATATCAGAAATATTTTTTTTTTTTACAAAAGAGTGTCTTCTGTACGGAATTTATATTTTGAATTTTTATGAGGAAATTTTATATTAATGATAATATAATTTTTATATACTACTATTTATATAGTATAATTTATATTTTATTAAATAAGCAAAAAGAGAACCAAGCAAAAAAGCCTTTTTAAGAAGATATCAGTTTCTCTCCAGTCAAATCTGTTTGTGTACAAGTTTATCGACCCTCTCACTTAGTTAGGCAGCATACTGAAAGATTTTGGACTCATTTCTTGTGGTGCAGAACTGAATTTAATCTTCTTGTAATGGTGTCCCCTTTGTTATGAGGCAAAATACTACCCTCCTTCCCTATTATGTGTGTAGTGAGGGTCTTCATCCTCAAAATACTGACTTTTTAATATATGACTATATAAAAATCTACATGACTTTTTAATACACTAAGGATACATGTATGGCTAAAAAGAGAAACTAGAGGTTTTGATATGGTTAATTATCCACTTTCTTTAGGATTAGCCTCTCCACATTATTCTGTCTGTAAACAACAGGGCATCTGGCCTTGTTTTTCCTCAGGGTCCTTGCATCCTTGGAGGATGCACTTTTGCCCATCTAAGCAGGATTTGGATGCATGAAACCCAGGCTACTACAATCTTGGGGAACAGAAGGAGTGCTTAACCACACAAAATTTAAGGAAAAATCACACCACATGGTGGTTATTGTTAATGTCTTTTGGTGCTGTCTGTACTTCATGAAGTGTCTCTAGAAAGGTGACCAGGACTTGTAAATATAGGCAAGATAACTGTCATTTTAAAGCTTCTTTTGATGTGTTCTTGATGTCACTGTGGAAGAACATGATCTTGTGGAGGTTGAAAATCCTAAAAGTGAAAATTAATAACAAAGTCAATATTCCTTGACTATATCTTCTCACTGTAACATGAGATCAAATACAAAGGACATTTTTGAAATAATTTTTGTGCTTGGGGCCTCTGGTTCTTATCTACAAATCCATGAAAGGCCAGGCAGACATGGTCATGACAATGACTGAACAGTAATACACCATTAATAGTAGAAGACAGAAGAAAGGATTTGGTCTGAATCCATGGAAAAAAATGCATTCCAGGACAAATGGATTTAGGAAGTGTTTGATGATAGAAATAATACCAAAAGTATTCATATTAGCAATCAAATGTTGTTATTCTCAGACACAGCTACAGAGCCATAACTATATTTTCTGTTGTATGGTTATTGACTTATATTTAGGTAGGAGGGAAGAGAGTTATTTATTTATTTATTTATTTATTAATCTGTACTTGCTACAACTATAATTACAATGTTGAAAATTTGGCTTATTTCCTCCATTCCATTACTCCGTTTCACTCTCTGTCGGACCAAAAAAAAAAAAAAAAAAAAAAAAAAATTATTGCACATTCATAGATTTATCCTTTAGAAGAAAATAAGTGAGAAAACAAGCAAACAAAACCACACCTGCTCATAAGAAACAGTAAAATCTCTTTCTTCACCACTGGAAGTGGATAAGTGGAAAAAACTTAGCATCAAGACTAGTATGAGATACTTAAAATAGTTTTTTGCTGCAATTATTTTTTAATAATATGTACAAATAAATGGCATGCCCAAAGTTAAGACAAATGGTGTCACTCTTTTGTCATCAATGAGGTTTATTATGACTTAGAAAACAATCAGAACCATAGTAATTTAGCAGAATAACTAACTCAGAATTCATGTAAGATCAATCACTAGATTACACCCTCAGAAACCTTAAAATACCCCCAGAATCTGTGACTATCAGTCACTGTAGAGTGACTGATGCTGAGATGAACAGATTTTTAGGTACACATTCTAAACTGTTTGATGCCTATGTTAATTGATATACTCTATCAAAGACCAGAGGACAAAGGCAGTAGAGTTCTTATGAACTCTTCTGTTCACTGCAGCGCAAACATATACCCTGACCTTCTACAGCTCAGGTTCTCTAGTCAGATCCCAGGACTGTTGTAAATGCTAAAATGAACAAGACCACTACTACAAATTTTGTTGCTGTCTTTTAATTTAATGACATTACCTCTTGTCCTATCACTAACATGCCCTTGTAAAAAGTCCCTCTCCAACCTTTCTGGCAGACCTCCTTTAGATACTAGAAGGCCACTGTAAGATCTCCCTGGAGCTTTCTCTTTTCCAAGGTGAAAAATTCAAGCTCTCTAAGTCTGTCATAGAAGAGGCTTTCTTCTTCTCATGGCTATCCTCTGAACCTACTCCAACAAGTCCACATCCTTCTTTTGTTGGAGGCCCCAAAGCTGAGCTCAGTACTCCAGGTGTAGTCTCACGAAAGGAGAGTAGAGATGGACAATCACCTCCCATGACTTGCTGGTCACACTTATTTTGATGCAAAGATACTGTTGGCTTTCTGGGCTCCAAGCCCACACTGACATCTCATACATCCAAGTCTTTCTCCTCAAGGCTGCTTTTAATCCATTCTTGCCCAACTTGTATTAGGTATTGCACTGACCCATATGCATGACCTTGCCCTTGACCTTATTGAACTTCATGAGGTTTACACAAACCCATCTCTGAAGACAGAAGTGTCTGTTGATAGTATAAAATATTGCTATCAATTATTTCCTCAGAAGCTAGGGTTCTTAATCCCTTGTTAGAGCTTATTCTGTCAGCTGAAATCACCATAGGCAATGAAAACAGCCAGCATTGAATACCTGTGGAGAGAACTAATCCAATGGTAACTGTAGTGAAGGATAGAAGGCAAGGAAGAAAAGATTAAATTGTTTACACAAAGAATTCAGGAATAGTAGTGTATTGCAAGACTACCCCCGTAAAATTAGTTAATATATCTTATGGATGCTATAGTAATGAAAAAAGAAATACAAATAATATAAGTTCTTTAGAGATTTCTCGGTTATTGAAT